AAAATACTTGCAACATACATGAAAGGACAAGTTTGATAACTTTAATATAAGATATATAGATACTTATATAATGTACATAAAATGTAAGTATTCTTTAAAGTAATAAGATGTACACCATAATACTGAAAAGGTCAAAAGATAACATGATATTTCTAAAGCAAATAAGTAGTCAACAAACAAGGGAGTAGGCATGCTGTTTTATTAGCAATAAAATTCAAACTAAAAAGAGATAAAATTTGTCACCTCTCAAATTGGTGAAAATGAAAAGAAATGCCTGGATGGTAAGGTGTGTGCGAAAGCTGCTGGTTGGGTGATAGGAGCTGCACTTGGGGTATTTTTCTAGATGGTGCGTTATGTGGATATAAAAGCCTTAGAACTGAGCTTAGTCTTTGTCCTGGTAATGCCTGTTTTTTTGTTTATTGTTTTCCAAAATGAAAATGTTTTAATGTTTTCTTTTTCTCACTATAAAAATAATTCAGTCATAAGGAATTCAAACAATAAAAATTCTAACAAGTTACGTAAAAATTACCAACAAGTACTACCATCAGAGATACCATAGTTAACATTTTAGAAGCATCTTTCCATATGTCTGTGCCCATCTGCAAACAGCTTTATAGACTTTTGCGTAAGTAGAATTGTATGTTCTTTTTTTGATTATTAGAACCTTTTTTTGTAGTCTTGACTTTTTAAAATTTCATCCCTACCCCATGATGCATTTATTGCAATGGAATGACTACCAAAAGTGGGACAAAGGACGTGTGTGCTTTAAAACCATATAGACATTGCTGTATTGTCTTCTCAAACTGTGTAGCCTAATACAGTAGCCACTAAGCACATTTGGCTATTTAAATTTAAATTAATTAAAGTTAAGTAAATAAAATTCAGTTCCTCATGTGTACCGGCCACCTTTGAAGAACTCAGTAGCCTTGTGGGATTTCATTCTACTGTGTTATTAGCACAGATAAAAGGACATTTCCATCACTCCCAAGGGTTCTGTTGGATAGAAACACTGAGCAGTCATCACGATTTCATTGCAGCATATGAAAGTGTCCTGTCTTCTCCTCCACTAGCTCTGCGATTGTCATGCTTTCGTGTTTGGCAATGGGATAGGTGAGAAACAACATTCCTGTTACGTTTATTGTTTTACTGTTTTTTTCTTTTGTAGTAAAGATAATAGTACAGTTTATTAGGAAAGAAATTTAATGTAATTGGATAAAAGTGGGGAGAAATGGGGTAAAAAGCGAGAAACATTCCTGCCCTCTATTTAGGAAACTTCTTATTGTTGTTCCTTTACAAAGTTAATAAACTCTAAGTAAGGTCATCAGTTTTACTATTTTTAATAAGATCATTTTCTTGCGATTATTACTTCTTTTGGAGAGCTGAGCATATAAGAAATGTTACCATTTTTAATCACAGCATGCTTAGTGGAACATTCTAGGTACAGACTTGGAAAACAAAAATCAGACTGAGTAACAGTGTTCCTTGGACATAGTGCTACACACAGTGTTTCTCGTGGGCCATGTCTTTTAAGTCCTACAGCAGCACTCTGAGGTGGGTGCCCTTACTGTTCTCTCTCTGGGTTTGAAAAAGTTACATGACTTCTCAAAGTTATGGAGCTGATGAGGGTGGAGCTGTGGTTTGAGCTCAGCTATCTGCTCTTTTTTTTTTCTTTTATTATTCATATGTGCATACAAGGCTTGGGTCATTTCTCCCCCCTGCCCCCACCCCCTCCCTTACCACCCACTCCGCCCCCTCCCTCTCCCCCCCACCCCCTCAATACCCAGCAGAAACGATTTTGCCCTTATTTCTAATTTTGTTGTAGAGAGAGTATAAGCAATAATAGGAAGGAACAAGGGGTTTTGCTGGTTGAGATAAGGATAGCTATACAGGGAGTTGACTCACATTAATTTCCTGTGCGTGTGTTACCTTCTAGGTTAATTCTTTTTGATCTAACCTTTCTCTAGTTCCTGGTCCCCTTTTCCTATTGGCCTCAGTTGCTTTTAAGGTATCTGCTTTAGTTTCTCTGCGTTAAGGGCAACAAATGCTCTTAGTGCTGGCCCTTACTGCCTCTCAGGGTCGGATTGCTCACAGCTTGTCCATGTACACTATGTTCCCCTTCTCCTCCTCAGTTTCCTTACCCTGGCTCTAATCAGACATTTAGGTTTTTTTTTTTTTTCCCTCTTCGAATTGCCTAGGCATTTCCTTTGCCCAGTTCTGTTCCTGTTTTTATTTTTTAAACCACACTGTAGGAGGTCTTTGTATTTCACAGCTATTTTCAGAAATAATTCACCAGGAACCAGTAGACATACTATCTAGGGCAGTTTTTCATTTGTTTGTAACACATGAAAAATTTCAGTCAATGTAAATGTCAAACAATTGGGGATTAAATAAATATGATACATTCATGTAGAGGAATACTCTGCAAAACTCTTAAAAGATCATGCCATGAAATTATTGCTCAGCCAAGGGGAATGTCTACAGTAAATTTCTAAATTAAAAAGGGGCAGACTTCTGCACTGTGTATGTAGTTTAAATTTATTTGACTTTAAAAAAGCTGCACATATATGTGTGAGGCATGGAAAAAACTGAAAAACTGTTGCCTCAGAATAATAATAGTGATTTTATTTTGGATGTCGACATTATAAGCAGTTTTTATTTTTGATCTGTGTGTTTTTTATCCCTAAATTTTCTACCTTGAACATTTCTTACTTTATAGTTAGGAAAAAAAGATTGACCATACATACATTTAGAGGGAAAAGAGTTGCAAGTTTTCTAGAGTAAATTGTGTTTTATCATGGTATGCATTTTCTGGGCACTTAGCATAACATTGTGCTTGGCCCTGAGGGAAATTCATAGAGGGAGCAAACCCAGACACCCATTTCTGCAAACGCTGCGGTTAAGTGTTCTCTATGCATTAAGTCTTGTGCTGGATCTACTGTTCACTGTCCAGGGTTAAACCCTACACAAATGGAAAAGCTGATAGGTACTATGTCCAGGGATCAACGTGACATAAGTATAAAGCACTATCAAATAATATTGACAAGATTCTGAGCAAGCTGGTTGAGGTAAATTATAGAATTCCTTGGGCATTTTAAGGGGAAAAATGCAGGTTTGGGGAAAAGAAAGGAGAAGAGTGGAGAGGATGAGGAGGGGAGAGGGGAGGGCACAGGGGAAAGGAAAAGGAGGGAGAGGAAAGGAAAGAAAGGATTAATTAGAAGAACTATGAGGTACAAAGAAAGGAAGGACTTTGTCTTCTGTCTGTCTAGAGCAGAGTTTTAGATGGATCTGTGAACCCTGAAGCGGTTTATAAAATTGTGTGTGATTTTTTTTTTTTCAAGTGAGAGAGTCCATAACTTTCATTATAGACTCACTCTCTCACAGGGGATTTTGGCTTTGAGTTAGAGAATAATGGAAAGGTTCTGGCTGACTGTAGAGGAGGATGGATGGTAGAGAGGAGGACTTCAGAACCTTGTTGAGGAATTTGAAGTTGATAGGATGAAAATAGTGCATCTGAGAGTAATTGTAGTCACAGTTACGGTATAATTTAACCTTTTATATGTTGTGATGGTCTACCTTAGAGGTATTTTGGCTAACTTGTTTTTCCTCCTCATTTTTTGTCTTTGGGAACTTATCAAGAGTCTGTCTCCTTCCTCCTTTTTTATCACCACACCGCTAGAAAGTAATTCATAGTAGTGATATCTTTAAAGAAAATAGTAAAAAACTACAACTATTCTCACACACAGGAGCCTTCATTGTTTGTAACTTGGGTGAACCCTAAGCAGAAAAAAACCAAATTATATTTAAAGAAAAAATGAAAACCACATTAGGGATGGGAAGAAGAGTGCTTTTGTGCTTCAATTTTGAAAGTTGATCATGTGTTAATTTATATAAGATGAAGTTGTGAACTCTTGCATTTATAAACAAAAGATCAGATTTGACGGAAGAGGTGGGAAGCACATCAGAAAGTATGATGGGATAGAGTGAAATTGATTTTCAGCCTAGTTAAATCTGTTCTGAGCTTATCAGCAAAGCAAATGTATAGATGTATTATTGAAAACAAGTTCCCTGAAACTCACTTTCTTGGGCTTTGTGTTACTTTCACCACTTTTTAAAGAAACTGTCAAAATGGTTGTGCCATTTTTACATAGAGTGCCCCTAAACTTTTTTTCTTTTTCTAGTACTATTTTTTACCTCCAGGCCTCACTCTTGAGCCACAGCTCCAGACTTTTGCTTCAGTTATTTTTTGGGTAGGACCTTGTGTTCATGCCTGGGCCATGATCTTACCCACAGCCTCCTGCATACCTGGGACCACAGGTGCTGGGCACCATGACCAGAATATTGGTTGAGATTCAAGTCTCAGTAACTTTTTGCCTGGGCTGGCCTTAAACCATGATCCTCCTGATCTCACCTCCTACCTAGCTGGGATTACAAGTGTGCCCAGCCAAGTGCCCCTAAACTTTTATTGTTCCACTTAGAGTAGAAATTGTGGGACAGGGTGACATTCTCCTTTATTCTGTTGGGACTCTCGGGGATCATTTTTGTAATTTTAGAGAAGCAAAACAATTAAGCAAGTAGAAATTTAACAAGAGAAAGTATTCTCATGAAAGATTTACAAATATTTTTCCCATTGCTCTTTTGAAATTACTTTATTAGCATATTTTGCACAGGAGGATACATTGTGATAGTTATGTATGTATTCCCACTCTTTTTAAGAACAGTGGTCAGTAATAGTCCTTTGATCATGTGCTTCCAGTAAGAAGAAGAAACCAGAGCCTTGGGACCTACGAAGGGGATATATTCCTGAGTCTGCTGGATGCACTGCAGGGAACATAGGTGCTGAATACTGCAAGGGAACTAGGTTTGAGAAAAGGGAAAGCTCGGCTGCATTTCTTTCTTCTAGTGATTATATACACACATCCTGTTTGTGCTGTATCTATTTCTTTCCTGTAGCCTTTTCCAAGTATTTAGCATTACTTCTCAGATTTTCTACTTTCTTTCAGGCCAAAGAAGCCCTCGAAAATACTGAAGTTCCTGTTGGCTGCCTTATGGTCTATAAAAGCGAAGTTGTGGGGAAAGGAAGAAATGAAGTTAACCAAACCAAAAATGTATGTGAATTGAGTCGTGTACTTAACATAGAGTGGTGATGGTGGGAGCAGACTAAATTTATGACAGTTGGGAAGAAGATGGGACTGAATGTGGTCCCTTAGCAGTTGGTGTAGGGCAGGGTTTCTTAACAGTTCTCTCTCTCTCTCTCTCTCTCATGTTGTTTTTCTGATTATAACAGTAATACATGATTTTTGTTTTGTTTTGTTCTAGATGAGAAACATTCAGAAAAATGTAATGAAGCTATAAAATCTTAGTGGATAATTTTCTCTTTCACAGAATTTAACACTAGAGTGAAACCCAAGAGGGAATTTTATTACATCAAAGTGTCATCAAAGAAGAAGCAATTTGATCTCTGCTTTAGGCAAATCTAACATATGAAAATTTCACATTCCAAAGTAGATAAATTTAACTTGCAATGCATTCTTTAGTTCCTTTAAATGTTTTCCTCCTAATTAAAAAAAATTATCCTCAATTTGTAACTTTGGAAGGAGGTATAAAAGAATTATATAAGGGAACCTATTTCTTTTTCTTTTTTTTTAAACTCAGGGCCTCCCTCTTGCTAGGCAGGTACTCTACACTTGAGCCACACCCAGCCCTTTTTTGCTTTAGTCATTTTACAGATAGGTCTTACACTTGTGTTTGAAACTGGCCTCAGACTGCAATCCTATTATCTATGCCTTCTGAATAGCTGAGATTAGAGGTGGGTGCTACCATGCCTGGCCCAAAAGAAACCTATTTCTGTATCACCATAATTCAATGGAATGAGGTGTCCATCACCAACCATCTGTAACTACATGCAGTATCCATAGCTTGTGTTATCTTATTTTGATCTGGCTGGGAAGCTCACAGTTTAAGGCCATGGTTGTTAAGCATGGACTCATAGCAGCATGTCATGGTGGGTATATTTGGGAACCATAAGTCAGTATACATGAAGTACTAAATAATATGAGGATCAAATACCAGGTGGACTCAGGGATAGCTTAGGAGTGTAGCGTCTTTTACATGGACTTTAATCTTATCATGGGATCTTGGGAACAGAGGACAAGCTGGTGTTGGCACTGGTGCTATGAGGCTTTTAAGGTTCATCTATCAAAAATTTACAAAGCCTGAGATTGAGCAAAACACATGTAAAACAATTATGAGGCTATCAAGGTATCTGTAAGATAAATATTAAATATAATATAGCAATTAGTGAAAATAGTGATTCTTATCTAGGAATTCTCTTTTTGCTTAAACGAAGCAGTCTTTGACATATCTGCAATGACAGTCATCACTGGTCTTGGCCTTTGGGACCATTATTAATTTAAAACAGATTACTTAAACACATACATTTCTATTTTGTGGTTTGTATGGTACAGTGACCTAGATATCCATCTAACCCCTGGATTTCTTCTCTACCTTGAAATTAACCAGGGTTATTTCGGTATCCTGTGTCATATAGATGACTCTTTGATTATAGCATGGAAAGACTCTTGACCCCAAGTGAGGAAATCTGAGCTGTACTGTGGGCTCTGATATCACTCCTTTCTCCTCTTCCTGTGTGTCTTTGATACATGCTAACACAGCTTTGCCTCTGTTCCTTTGGCAATAAAAGAAGGAGTTGACTGAGATGATAAAGTTCAACAATTATTTATTGAGAACTATAAGGAGACATGATTCAGGAATTTTGAGTCTGAATTTTCAATAGCACTCAGGTTAGGAAAACTTTTTTGTTGGTTTCAGTGTGCAGCAGGACTATACTCTCTTCTCTAAAGAACCTTCCTTCTCTGCTTTCTGATGCTGTGATTCCCCTGTATACCCTGCCAGCTTGCTCCTGTGTGCCTCTGATTTCCATGGTATCTTGGGCCATAGTGCCAGTATTTTTCATACCATGCTCTAGATCATGGGTAAATGAGTACCTTTCGCTGGCCCCATTCAATTTTTTGCTTATTGAGGGCAAAGATTTTTATTCTAAGCAGATTTATTTAGCACAGTATCTTGTACATAGTTAGCCACTCAGTGTAAAGTATTGACAAATGCTATTGTAATGAATATTATAAATAATTATTGCATAGACGATCTATGGTTCACATTAAGCTATTTTAATAGGGGAAAGGAAAGGGGAAGAGAACTAGTAGAGAGAATAAGTAGCATTGTGCAACACTGTGCTTTGTGTAATTCACACTGCTCCAGGAGGTGCAGAGGGGTAGGTACCAGTATGCCCCACTGTACATATGAGGAAACCAAGGCTTAGAGGAGTTGGTAACTTGCCCAAGACCACATAATTAGTATTGTCACTGTCAGGATTCACCATGAGATGCAGTCAGTTCACATGCTGTGTGATGTCTCCTGTAATGTATTGTCTCCTGTGTTATCTGAGACTAATAACCAAATCTCTGCTTCTCCAGAGTTTGCCAATATGTAAAATCTCATCCCCACAAATGTAAATGATGGCATTCTAGTAAACTACATAAAGATTTGCTTAGAGTGAGGTCAGTGACAGCCTTGAAAATATATTTGAAATTGGAGCACAAGCTTATGAAAATTTCAAGCATCCCTTAAAATATTCAGAAACCAGAGATATCTTTTTTTCTTTTTTTTTTTTTGAGAATTACCTTCTTTATGGCATTTTAATTGAAAGTTTCCCTTAGGAACTTAACTAAAGATATAGCTGGATTTATATGGCACCTTAGATTAGGTGTCTTCTGTTGATGTGGTTATCGTACTTGGGCTGGGGAACAGATAATTAGCTGTTAAGGGTATATTGAAAGCTCATTCATTAAAATGTTGGCAGAAATGATTGGAATGTTTTTATAATTGTGTCTTGCATATTTATAAATATCAGTCATATGAAACGAACAAGATCAATACAGGTATCTCTCTCTTAAGGCTACACGGCATGCAGAAATGGTGGCCATCGATCAGGTTCTAGACTGGTGTCGTCGCAGTGGCCAGAGTCCTTCTGCAGTGCTGGAGCACACGGTGCTGTACGTCACTGTGGAGCCATGCATTATGTGTGCAGCTGCTCTCCGCCTCATGAGTATCCTTTGCTTCATACAGTCTGGGCTGTACCTTCCCATGAACAAGAAAATGGCCAGATATATAACCTGTTTGCCTGTTTGCTTTTTTTTTTTCTTGGACCCGGGGCCTTGCACGTGCTGAGTGCATTCCTTATGGCTGAGCTATACCCCAGCCTTCTGTTTCCTAATGTATAGTATAGAAACTCAGACTTATGAAACACACTATAAAGTGCAGTACATCTTGGGCAAAAAGGGAAAAATTTTTACCTAAGTAAGATTACCTATTTCTTTTTATAACAGTAAACATAGAACTATTGAACAAATAGTCCAGAGAAAGAAAACCTTGAAACTAACTTAAACAGTTATGTGAAGATGAATCCTAAATTAAATTAAAGTAGATTATATGGAAGTTCTGAAGAATATACACCTACATTTTACCTTTGGGTAATAAATTATGGTGATTAAAATTTTTTTCTATGTTTGTCTTTTTTTGCAATGAGTGCCTATCATAAAGTTTAAGAAATTAAGTGGAAAAGTAACTTAAATCATTTATGATATTGTAATTGTACATATGTGGAAAATTAATAAAGTTATGTCTCTTGCATAGAGTAAGCAAAATAAGTACTGGGTGCATTCGGTCTCCAAAGACCATTTATTTATTTGTTTTTTAATTCGTTTTTCAGTGCTGAGGATTGAACCCAGGGCCTTGCACATGCTAGGCAAGCATTCTACCACTGAGCTATATTATACCTCAGCCTCTAAAGATCTTTTAAAAACTTATTTGAAAATTCAAGAACTCAGTTTCGTATTTGCATTTTTATGTGCTTTAAAACTATGTGTGTGAAAATAATTTTATCACTTTAAAAATAACAGAGGTTTTTATGTACAATGACATGTACAGTCTCTGTAAAAGAAGAGTTATTAGCAATTTAGAATTCTGTCCTCATCCTGCCTTAGAGTGGCTTTGCTTTAGCTTGTTTCTATTGGGGCACAGAGTATACTTGGGGAAAGAACAGGGAACAGTCGGCTATTTTTATTTTAGAATTTTTTTTGGTGGTACTAAGGCTTGAACTCAGGGCTTCATGCTTGCTAGGCATGCCCTCTACCACTTACTTTGCCTCACTCTGATCTATAATTTTTCAGAGGTAAAAATCCCTGGATTACATTTCTGCCTCTTGTCTGACTCCAGTTCTCTAATGATTCTGAAAAAGTGATTTAGGAAAGTGTACAAAGCACACTAAACCATGACAATTAAACCACACACTTAGTTTTCATTCTGTTTACAATTGTTGGATGTTAATTTCTAAATACTTGAAACTTCTTTGTTTTATGTAACTGGACGGTATAGTTTTTAAGTCTAATTCCAAGGTTAATTGTTTTGAAAAGTAGCTGAGCTTTCCTTTCCAGGTTGGCTAATATTAACCTATGCTAATTTCGCCACGATGCTGCACATCCTACATAGGACCTTAATTCTGTCCATAAATCCCACTGGTTGTCTATGGTTGTCAGAATGAACGGTTTGGTGGTTGTGGCTCTGTTTTAAACATTGCCTCTGCTGACTTACCAAATACTGGGAGACCATTTCAGGTAATACAATCTGCTTATGCTTTTTCTTTGTTTTTGGTTACTTTCATCTCATTGTGGGCTTGCCAGTAGTTGTGATCATTATTCCAGGAAGCCAAACAGAATCAGACAGTATCTCAGGACCCCAGGTTGAGTTGCTTTATTCCTCAAGGGATGATGACAGTAAGAGCTTCTAGATGAGTGCCCCTCCTCTTTACTTACAGACTCTCTCCTGAAGGGCAGTCCCCATGCTTTCCTCCTATCAACTCCTAATAGTCTTCACCAGCACCTTAGGTGGGTTTAAAGACACTGTCACTGGTCACTGATGGAGGTTTCATTCAGTGCTTTCTACCAGCTCCATGCTGTACTAAGTTTGATGAAATTTGGCCTGTGTCAGTGACAGGAGATGCTATTTGTAGTGAACACAGTATTTTTGTACAAACTCAGTCATTCTGTGTGATTGCCATGTACCATTATTAGTACCCAACAGTCTGTAATTTCATTGTTTTTCCATTATTATTTTTCTTTCATTTTCCGCCGGACCTGAGAATCCACATCTTTCATTTCTTAGCAACTCTTCTCTCCTTTGACATGTCTTCAGAGTTTTTATGGATAAAATTGTTAGCATTATGAATCTACATTGGTGGAGTTTGGTCTGGGTTGCATACTAGTTTTCTTGCACTGGTTTGATGTTGTTCCAAGAGGGAAGTTTAACCCAGAATTATTGTACCCGAAATGATTTAGCAAATGCTGGACTTCGTGGGCAGTTCACTTCAGAGACTTCAGCTGTTCATAGAATATGATAGAATTTATGAAGGTTTTACCAAACTTGTTCCTAAAAAGTTTGGTAAAACCTTGAATTTTTCCCTCTGAACATAAGCTTCCTGACAACTGTTATACATGTCAGAAGACATGGCTTCTTATCTCAGAAAGGCATTGTAATAGAGTGATTGGATGTAAAGGAAACAATTAGCTTGATCATTAAAAACATCTTGCAAAGTGATTTGATTTTTCTAATCACTTCTATGATTAGCCCAAACTTTGCTTATATAACTCTTTGGAAATGAATTGCTGACTTTACAATAATTCCATTATGAGAGTAATTTAAAGAATTTCTCAATGTTTCTAGGCAGAACAAAGATGAGAAGCTGGATATCAGACAGGTGAAACAGTTGTCTCTGAAGTGTTGTTGACTCACTAGAGGACACAAATTCAGTCCTCTTAGGCATCTCTACACAGAGTTGATACTACTGAACCAGAAAAAGTTCATTTGCAGTTCATACACCTGTCCACATTGGCCCAACCAGCACCCATGGCTTGAAGCCTTATCTCTAGGTTTGATGCCAAATTATGTTTTTAAAAGTGTTTTGAGATTTTTATAAGATATTGGTACCCAAGGCTTCTGTGTGCTGTTTTCTTCTTTTCTTTGGCTAGATTCAGAGGGCAAGAGATGATAGGGAGGTGAGATTTCTTTTCTTATTGCAGAATTGTAGATTCTTTTAATACTGTATTATAAACTACATGAAAGTTCATAGAGGAGACCTACAGGTAATAATATGGTGATTCATTTATATTACCTGCTCTGTTTAAAATTTAGTTTATTAAGAATGTGTGCTTGGCACTAAAGTGCCAAATTTGTAGCTATTATGGATATTTGAAAATAGTATCTTGTTTTCTGAGAATGGTACAGTTTCCTTCTCCACTAGTAACTCAGCAGTTCTCCTCCTGATTGCATATTAAAATCACCTGGAGAGCTTTTGCGCTTTTTCTGTGCTCAGTCTTCACCCTGGATCAACTGAATGAGAAGGCAGGAGTTGAGTATTGGTGTGTGTAGAGAGTTCCCAGGTGGTTCTACTGAGTAGCTGAGAACCACTGCTTTAACTCCATGGGAGAGGAGAGGGCTTGGTGTGTGCGGGTGAATACTTGTGAGAGCAAGGTGGGCGCTCTAGAGGGTACTAATGTTTGCACACAGGAAGTCCAGGGTGATATGAAGGCACTGACTGGGAGTGGTTAGAATGGTGGCCTACTGAGAAGCCAAAGAAGGAGAGAGTTCTAAAATGTAGCAGGTTTGGCCAGTGATCTGCTTGACTATAGAGTTATGTCAGTGAGGCCCTTGGGATATTTAAGAGGCAGTTTAGTGGAATCTTCCACACTCAAGCCAGTGATGATGAGATTGAGGAGGAAATGAGAGCACAAGGGAAGTCTGGAATGTTTTGAGGCAGGAGGAGTGGGGCAGGATGGACACAAGGTTACTGTTACCATGGGGAAGGCTTGTGCAGGCTTCATATGGCCCACACAGGAGCAGCTGAGTCTCCAGGAAGGGAGGTCCATTCTGAGCATCACCCCAGAGTGTCTGGGCTCTAGTCTGTGCAGGTACCTGCTGGCTCCTTTCTTTCCTACGCACTGTTTTTAGGGTTGATTGTATTATTTCATGTACTTGAAAGGAAGCATTGAATCAATTCCAAAGTCTTCTGAGTAGCTCTCAAAGCTAGTGTATTTTGACTCTGTCTTACCTCTTTCTTCCCTTTCTGTGTTCCCTCAGTAAGGCTGCCCATCCGAAGCTCATCAGCTGACTTCTCACACACATCCCACACTTTTACTCTTTCCCTGAGACATAATGCTTGGCCTCTGAGTTCAACTTTCATCTTCAACATGTAGTGTCTTGTATACTAACACAGTTTCTTACTTATTCCTTCATTTGTTTTGATCTTTCCAGTTAGATCTCCAAATAAAACAAACTGAACAACAAATCAGCAATTTTTTTTGTAAAGGATTAGATAGTAAATAGACATTTTAGCCTTTGTGAGCCAACTATGTCTTTGTCACCATTTTTTTTTAACAACTCTTTAAAAATAGTTTTTAAAAATTCTTCACTCAGTATTCTTAGTTGTGGACTTTATTTGGTCCACCAGGTATAGTTTTCCAGGCCATCCGTAAATAACAGAGATAAAAGTAGTGAGTGCTTAGTGAGTGCTTTTGATGTGCCGGGTGTTTTAACAGTAGCGTCACTTAATCCTCACAACACCCCTCTGAAGTAGGTGCTGTTATTACTTACGTTGCACACGTGAAATGTAGAGTGATTAAGTACTTTGCCCATCTCACACAGCTGCTCACTCCAACAGAGTTTGCGGGAGAGTGGTGTTTAAGGCTGGATGTCTATTCCTTTGGAAATGTACTTTTTACCCCATCCCCAAAGTAATTGATATTGTCTGAAATCTATTCACATAAAGGTATATATATTCCTATTTTTGTGGGACACAGCACATATTATCATAGGCCTGTGTTCATTCTCACCTTTTTCATTTCATCAGTGCATTCCTGGATATCGGGCTGAGGAAGCAGTGGAACTGTTAAAGACCTTCTACAAACAAGAAAATCCCAATGGTCAGTTTTCCCCTGCTGCATATAATGTACCTTCCTTTAAACAAATCAGTGTGAAAAGAGTCTGACATGAGCCTATGTCCTCATTTTCTCCTTTTCTGTTCTTTTCACAGCACCAAAATCAAAAGTACGGAAAAAGGAATGTCAGAAATCCTGAAGTTGTTCTGATGAAAGACTAATGCCCCACAGGGTCCTGGATAAAATTTCCAGACTGAAAGCTGTTGGCATCAGTGAATCATGTTCACTGTTGTTGTTACTTTGTGGGAAAATGGTATCTTATCATTTGCTCTGTTAAAGGAACAAATTAGCACTTTTTAAAAGTCTGACTATTGTAAACAACTGTTAGCTTTTCCACAAACTGAAAGAATATTTTAAGAAGGGGAAAAACTAAGGTTTGAGATTTTGGAAATTAGCAAGCAGTGCATGCCCTTCAGCCGTGCCTTATGCCCAGTCCAGGAAAGTGCTGGCTTTTCAAGAATGTGCATCCAGACCCAGTTGCCTGCATGTGTCTGAACGAGTGTGCCACGCAGCAGACACACTGCTAGCAGTCCCTCTCTACGAGTGACCTTTTGAAGTTGGATTCCTCAATTTTTTACAGCTACTATGTTCTCCCACAGCACTGGCGCCTGGCTACTTTCTAAATTGTATATTAATTTTATACATGTGACCATGATTATATGGCCATTAGAACAAATCTTTTATAAATCATTTAGAGAAAGAGTATACTTTTAAGGCAAGTGCTTAGGGATCATTTAAAAATTATAGCATATTGCTGTAATAAAACCTTATTTATGCCTTCTTTGAAAAGGAATAGTCTTAAAAATAAAAGATAAAAGCATAGGTGGAACAGTTCCTTGTTCTTGAGCAATTATTCTGCATGAAGGTCCATTTCTTCTTTGGACCAAAACAAAGCATCCTGCCTTGTGGAGCCTGTATTCTCACAAGGAGAGTTAGATGAAAAATATAGTTGGTTATACAGTTTACTGGAGGCTGATAAGAATTATAGCAAAAGCCAGGCATGGTGTTTCACTCCTATAACTCCAGTTCCCAGAAGGCAGGGAGAGAAGGATCATGAGTTTGAGGCCAGACTGGCCTACAGAGCAAGATCCTCTCTCAAAAGAAAAAAGAGTTACAGTATTATACAGCAAAGAGAAAAAGAAGATGAATGTGCCAGTTGGTGGTAATGCTGGGTGCAGAATTAAATACAATGATCAATTTAATCTGAAATCAGACATTTCTTTTTCAAAAAAATCATAGATAATAAACTTGAAATTTAATATTCAGAATTCAAAAGTGTGAACATGACAGGAAAGAATAGCCACAGTACAAGTCCCCACTGTTCACCTCTCTGGCCTTAGCAAAGGTCACTGAAGCAAAGTGGTGCTTTGTAGAAGCACTCTGGACGCACTATGCATCTCTGCCCAGAAGGGGGCCTCACTGTTCCACCAGAAGCCCAGGGCAAAGCCCTGGAGGGCAGCTCCCTCTCAGATGAGTTTCTTGAGCGGGTTCATTTCCTTGATGCAAAGCATCTGTATTTGTTGGTTCTGCCATTTGAGCGATGTCTCTGACTTGTTTGTTTTGAATTACATTACAGGCTGGAATGTAATTGTGGTGGAAGTATTTTTATATTGCTGAGAGTAGCAGCTAATCACAGTTACATGCTTCAGAGGATTTATAATTGCTTGGTTTGTGCATGTGTGTTTTTAACGGCATTTGAGAAATTTTATGGATGATTCTAAGTCTACAATAATGTTGCATGCACCGTCTCAATTTTATCTACTTTAAAAATTGTCTTCTCATTAAATTTTAGTGCCTCAATTGTTTGTTGTTTTTTGCAGTTGGTCGTAATTCACTTTGGCTCCTTATGCTTTTCTGCAAGCAGACTTCATTGCATTTATTGTCTTCATATCATTTTCTTGGGGATTATTTGTAAAAGAAACAACCTGGACTGTTTGCTCAGTAGAGTACCACCCAGTGAGTCTGGCTGAGCATTTTATGGTCAGTAGGCTCTTTGTTAAACGTTTGGTAAATAAAATTATCAGTTGAAATTTGGGGGAAAATGAATGAGACTAAGATAAAAAACAGAAAGGCAGAAATTTATCTCAAATATAATCACTACTTAACGAATCAAGAAAATAAAGTGATAAACAGGGAAGAATAGAACTGTATTCTGCCTTTGCTGTGTTTTGGAGAATGGGTAAGTAATATTTCCTGGTTCCTAAGCATGGCTGAACAATTTAATTTGTTTACCAGCTTTTAAATTTTCTGTCCAGTGACTGACATAGAAAAGTCTGTCCTGAATTTTTGGATGAAAGCATGGTTTCCTCTATCACTTTAGGGGAAATCAGTTTAGATGGCACTGTAGACCTGCAGTGCTGGTGCAGGACCACAGTGGGACTAAGACAGCAGTTTCCATGTGGTTGTGAGGACTTGTGGATATGTGATGGGGTGCTCCAACTTCCTGAGTACCACATTCGCCAGCAACTTCACTATGGTTTAAAATGTTTAGAGGTCCCAGCTCAAAAGCTTGTGTTCAGTTGATCAGTACTGTACTGACTACCTAAGAAACCAGCTAAGAGACTTGCTTTGTACATGAGATAGTTCTGGAGGTTATGGAATACAAACAGGTTGTAGAATCACTACCCTGTTTAGAGAAACTAGGTGGGGAATGATTACATTTATGATGATAGAGTATCCAATGTTTGCTGGTTTTGCAACAAACTCTGCTGAGAATGAGTGGTATGTGATACATTGGCAGGCTTCAATCACTGATAAAAGATCATGTTAAAACATCTTTGTGCTTTCTTTTTATTTGGCCCAAACATCTCTTCCTGTGTTGTATTTGGAATATCGTGGAGAACATAGATAGACAAGAACCCCAAAGTAAGCAAGAACTGTTAAGTTTTTCTTAAGCTTCTTATTTGAAAATTATATACATCATACATTATGGCCCTTTACCCTAAAATATTTGATAAGTAAAGGATATTCTCTTATGTAATCACTTCTCAGTTAATGATTTCAGTAAATTTAATGTTGATACACTTTAATTTACCAATACAATAGTCCTATAGTTTTCTCAGTTGGCTCAATCATGCCCCTTTAGAGAAATTCTTCCATACCCCCTGAAAAATACTAGATCCATTGAAAAGGGTCAGGTATTGCATTTAGTTTCTTGTTATACTTAGCTACTTTCAATCTAAAACATTTCCACAGCCTTTCTTGGGTTTCCATAGAGATATCTAGTATTAAAATGTTTTAAGCTCTGCTACTTGAGTGTCAATAAATAATAGTAAAAGCCAAGACTCGAAAAATCCTACTTTTTTAGACTAGTGTAAGTTCCCTGTTAATCTCTGGTGAAGCCAAAGCTTGTCCTGCCTAGTCATTCTGCATCAGCTGGCATTGAGTAGCCCTTGATGCCTTGAGGCATCAGCAATTGGTTTCTCTGCCTTTTGGCAAAGGAAGGAGTCTACATTGACTTCATCTGTGAGGACAACTGCCAGCTATTTCCTTACTTCATAAATTGCTAATTGTGTGCAGTGAGGAAAGGACCGATGGGTTATGTTATTTTTATGGGTAAGACTGGCATAAGTCCGGGTGAGAGTTTGACATCTTTAGGACCCTACATTTTTGCAAGCTGATCTAATAAAAACAGGCTCATGATTATTTCTCACCTTGATTTTTAGGTGAATTTTTACATGGCTTCACACTATGTCTACACAACCAGTAAGAGGCTTTGTGGTGCAGTTTGACAAAGGCTGTTCTTGACCAAACTTGGTCAGGCTGTGAGCCCTTTTATGCAGGCCTCAACCTTTGCTCTGCTCTTTACTGGGCCTGCATAGCCCACTTTTACAAGACTCCTCCTAATTTGGTTTAGAGAGAATCCCTTGCCTTCAGTTTTGGATCACGTTTCTCATCCTGTGCCTTTGATGTGTAAGTCCTTGATCTGCCTTCAGTAGGAATCCAAAGTTGGTTCAGTAAGAATGATTCTACCCTTGATGTTTCCTCTTTACATCTATTGACACCCTCCTTCTGCTTACTGGTTATAAATCCAGAGATATTGGGCTCAAGCCTAACTACCTCTCCCTGATTGTGATAGTCTTGACACTTACACTATTGTCCTGAATAAAGTCTTCCTTACTGTTTTCCTGAGTGTAAGAATCTCTTTTTCTTTAACAAGTTGAAGGCATGAGTATGAACCATGGGCCAAATCCATCCCAATGCTTGTTTTCATACATTCATGAATTAAATATGTTTTTACATTTCTAAATGGTTGGAGAACTTAAAAGAATAATATTTAGGGACCCATGAACCCAATATGAAAATAAAATTTCAGTGCCCATATATAAAATCTTATTGGATCACAGCCATACCCATTTATTTGTGTATTATCTGGCTGGCTTGGTGTTAAAATGGCACAGTTGAGTAGTGACAACCATGTGATTCACAAAGCCTAAAATACTTAGTGTCTGGATCTTTAAGAACACATTTGCCCTGTGGTCTAAAGTAAGATTAAATGATGAGGTTGTATCTCTAAGGTGCTCATTCAAATTATGTGACTTTACTCATTGTGCAGCTTTGCCTCATTACCATGGTTTCTTTAAGTTTTATTTTGGATTAGCATACATTTATAATAGGTAATTTCATTCTGATAATTCTATATCACACATGCATATAGTGTACTTTGAACAACTTCATCCCCTCCATTATATTCCCATTCCCTCCCTCCCTCTCCATCCCCTTTTCAAAGAGTGTTTGCTAGGTTTGCCATGATTTTTTAAAGTTGGTGTATAAATATGGAGGAGACACTGAAGACACCAAAATATTTATTCTGACTTGGAATATTTTATTTCTTTACATTTTAAAAGCATAGCAAGGAGAAAAGGTCATATACTATTTTATTAGGGTTTAGAATAAATGATACATTTTATTTATGACCATATTAAGATGCTAGCAAGTATGTATCATCTTTAAGAACAATTACTGTAGTATCAGAAATCTACTGGGCAGCTTTAAAAAGTAGGCCACAAGCAAAAGCCATCTCAGTACAATCCTCATCACTTTGTGTGGTCCAATTTTATCTGCAACAGGTTTTGATGCCCCTTCAATGCTTAACTCACATAGAAAAGGCAATTTTAAAAAAACCACTTATTAGGTATTTAGTTATGTTTTTTCCCTAGCATTGAGCACAGGACAAAGCCTTACTCTGTAAGTTAGACACATACTTTGTCCAGATTGTAACTTTTCATGGTAAGGAAGTAATTTGGGAGGGTGAGTAAGAGGGTAAGGGATAGCATACAATATTATAGTAGGGAAAGAGCATAACAGGAATACACAGACACAGGACTCCAGGGCCCCATTATACTAAAGATTCTCTGCTTCCTTCGGAGGGGGATCAACATTCTTTTTTAATGTGTGATTCCTGGGATATGCCCGGGTTTTGTTTTTTGGTTTTTTTTGGTGGGGGCCAGTTATTGACAGGGAGGCTGGAATTACATGATAGTAGGCAGGATTTGGCCATGGGGAGGGTGTGTATCAGTAATAGAAACTAGTGTTTACCTGAAACTTCCTGTGTGCCAGACCCAATTTCCATGTATCTCAACCCAACCTTATGAGTAAGCACTGTTATCTTTGCTTTATGTCAAGGAAACTGAGGTACAAGGAG